CACTCTACTCACAGGATTGATCCATCTCATTGAGGGTCTTCCTCTCCTTCGCCTCCCCTCCACTCTCCCAAACATGATATCCCTCTTCAAGGACCAGTCCCTCCTTGCAACATGCCCAAAGTATGTCAGACGAAGCTTCAGAATCCTTGACTCCAAGGAGCATTCTGGCTTCTCCCTCTCCAGGACAAACCTGTTTGTTCTCCTAGCAGTCCATGGTAGAGTCAACACTCTTTCTTCAGCATCACAGCTCAAAGGCATCAATTGTCTTTCTATCGTCCCTATTCACTGTCCAATTCTCTGATGCATAGCACGTAATTGTGAAGACTATAGCTTGGATCAGGCGCACCTTAGTCTCTTCAGTACTCTTGAGAGGTCCCTCACAGCTGACTTTCCCAATGCAATTCGTCTCCTGATTTCCTGGCTGCTGTTACCAAGAGTGTTGACTGTGGAACCAAGTAAACTAAAACTGTTAACTATCTCAATCTTTTCACCATCCAGTTGTCATTATAGTACAAATAAAAAATGTAGCAGGCATGTTTGTGTATAAGATCCTGACCTCTTTTTTCTCTTCTACCCTTCCTCTGTCTCCCTTTCCCTCTCCATTTCTTTAGGTCAGAGTCCCAGGCACAGCTTACAGGGTGTGGCGATTTCAAGTCCCTTGATAAAAAGTATTATGTGAGCTCAGAAGGGTACTTATTTTCGAAATGTTTCTTCAAATTTCAAAGTAAAGATGCTAAGAGTTTAAAATGCTGAGAAGAGAGACAATGACTCAGCTTTCTTCTCTCTCTACTTTGTGAAGAGTAGGGGTGAGTAATCAGAGGGTGTGGGAGGACAGAAACCAGATGCAGCAACTTCACAGATGCCAAATGCCTGCTAAGAATATATTCAAGAGGTATCCAATAGGCAGGCACCCCATGTATTTATGCAGGATGAAATGCAAATCACAGGTTGGGACAATTACTAGACACTCATTTTGTTCACTCTTAATTAAGCATTTTTACATAGAAAAGACAGAAAATTTTCCACATACCAATTAGTGGAGAACTTCTGACCAATGAACAGAATTTCTCTCACCTTCCGGAGTCTTGCAAGAAGTCCGGCCACATGTTCATGCTGTTCCGATTTAGCAAGATCTTCGGCTGTCTTCCCATCCTATTGGAGAGAATGATTAGTTTGTGTTTTGTTTTTTTCTTTGCAAGAAAATAATATGTTAAATATACCAATTCTGTCTACCTCAATCTGTAACAAGCCGAATAGGCATCAAAAACAATCACACAGACCAAAAAAGTGTGTTCTGAATTATTCTGCAGCTTCAATCCTACCCCACTAGATTGTCCAGAAAAGGGGATATGACAGTAGGAAAGGGCTATTCATTGGCATCCTGATATCCAGAGTGATGTCCAGGGCACCAGATCCCACTAGAGTCACAGCCTTGCTAGACATCTGCTTTCTCTGTGTCTGAACTTCTTTCATCCTAGGTAGTGCAAGTGAACATCTTAAACTCCACATAAAGAGATGTTAGTCTTTACAGGACACTAATTACTGGTAATAACTGGATTTCAAAAACAAAGCTCTGTTTTACACAAAAAAACACATAATAACTGGATTTCAAAGACAAAGCTCTGTTTTACACACAAAATCTGGGTTTTTTTGGTGGAAAAATTTTCAGTGAACATGTATGTTGTTGTTAGTACAATAAGCTGTCAATAAGAAAACTCCAACTCAAAGAAACCCTAGCAACTGAACAAAAGGAGAGAAAGGTCCCAAGTATCTGGGACATTCCTGTGTGCACAGCATGGACATGAAGGACAACACTAGCATTCACTGGAAGCTCAGGAGCAGGTGACACACCCAGTGGGACAGTTCTTCCCTCCACACACCACCTCAGTATCCCTCCTGTGGGACAGAATGGTCACTGTCCCCATGCTCCACTCAAGGACACAGCGTTCCTGATCTATTCTGGTGGAGTTTTTATAAATGATTAGACATTCAAAACAGTAAAGGGGATATGTGATTTCCAAACAAAGAAAAGTGAATTTATTTTTTTAAAAAGAGGACTTTGGTTAATGCTTGATAATCATTATTAAAGTTTATTCTCCACAGAAACTTTGTGTTGTCCTAAATCTATTTCCCAACCCTGCAACCCAAGCTTCCTGGAGCTCCATGTGGGCCCCACCAGACCAGCTTTCTTGACCCTGGTGCTTGCTATGACATTCTGAACCAGGTAATTCTTTGGTATGGGGCAGGGTGGGTGGGGCAGTGGTTTGTTCATTGTGGAATGTTTAGCTACATGTCTGGCCTCCACTCCTCTGCTTGTGACAGCCCACATGCCTTTCCACCTACTGCCATGATGCTGATTCTGATTCACTGTGGCTGCACCACCTCACATTCCCATCATGAATACACCAGAGTCCCAATTTCTCAACATCCTCACCAGCATTTATTGCTTAATATCTTATTTGAACATTTGAATTTTTGCCAGAGTGAGATGTTATCTTAGTAGGAGAAAGATGAACTATCTTCTTCTGTGTGATTTATTGCCTCTGAAAACATGTTGGAAGGTCAACTATGAGTCAGTCCCAACTTAATGCAACAGCATTATTCTTGTGAGGGAGCTCTACTGGCTTAATGGTAAGGACTTGCACTGTCAACCCACAGGCAGGTGGTCTGAATCCACCAGTCGCACCATAGGAGAAAGACGGGTAATCTCTTCCCATGCAACTAACTGCTTCTGAAAACCCACAGGAGAGTCAGCAATGGGTCGATTTCAATTCAACAGCACATAACAACAACAACAATTATTATTGTGGAGTTGTCTATTTCTTTCTACAAATCTATTGATAATTATTTTGTGTGTCTTGCAACTCTTTCATTGAGTTGTAGACATGACTCATTTATCATTATGTATCCTTGTCTCTTATTCTGTTTTTCTCTTTATTTTTTCAGAAATTAATACAGCCAGCCACACTAGCTCTTTTTTATTATCTTGGTTTGATATATTTCTGTCCACAGTTTAATTTGTACTGTCTTTGACCTGTGTCTAAGGTATCTGGTAGATAGGCTTTTGATGGGTCGTGTTTGTTATTCAATTTGCTACTTTCCCCTGATGATATACTCAGTCCATTCACAGCCAGTATAATTCTCAGTAGATCTGGTCTCATTGCTGTCATTTCACAGCACTCTCTTTTGTGGTGTTGCTGGTATCTTTGTTCCTTCTGCTTATCTGGGCTGAGTTAACTTTGTTTATTGCTTTTCTTTGTTTTTTGTTTGTTTGTTTGTTTCTGTCTTTTCTTATTTTCTTTATTGTTGTCATTCCTCACTTTTATTTTGCTGTAGGAAAAATCCTTGCATTTGACAACCTTGGAATGATCAGGACTCATAGTGGTTCTAAAGGACAGAGTAGGATTAAAAGAGTTTTGGTAGGTGAAAGTATCAAGAGTGGCACATCCAAACAATGAAAAATTATCTAGAGATAAAAAAGAAATGAATTAGTTCACTATAAAAATACATAGTGAGGAGGCTTCCCAGGGGATATAGGTCCCTGCTTCTGGGGATCCTTGCCTCCATGGCTGCAAGGCCAACCTAGGGGCCAAACAGGACAAAAGACATTTTAGGACGTAGAGCTACAAGCAAAGAAAGACCTTTCCCAGCTCTCTATGAGAAGGAGGGCTGACTTGAGACCCCAGCACACAATATGCTTGACTTGGCGTCCCTGATCTCCCACCACGCCAGACACAAAGGAAGACATTAAGCTGCAGGAGAAATGTTGAGAGAGGTGAGGCTCTGTGCCAGTTTGATTGAAACTCCTACAGGGCTGCAGTGCAGAACAGAGAGAACCTCAAGGAATTTAGGAAAGGCAAATTTTTTCAGAAAGGATTTACAGTAGGGTGCACGGCTCACCCCACAGACTGAACATTTTAATTTGGCAAATAATAACAACATAAAGACAAGAACCACTACTAACTTTCACAGAAACAATAGAAACGGCTTAACACATATCAAGAAACCATAAGAGCTAGAAGATAATAGGATGGCATATACAGAAAATTGAAAGAAAATAATTGTCAAGCGAAGATACTGTACCCAGAAAAGTTCTCCATCAAACACGAAGGAGAAGTCACATCCTTTGCTGAAAAGAAGGAAGTCAAGGAATTTTTGAAAACAAGACCAAATCAACAAGAACTTTTAAGGGAAGTTTTTTACACAGAGACACCAAAGGAAAGTGGATGGACCAAAGTAACAAGAAACAATAAAAAAAGAAACACACAAAATGGCAACAATAAAACCTGGCCTATCAATAATCACACTTAAACTGAATGGACTAAATGCACCAATTAAGAGGAAAAGAGTAGCAGAATGGAGATATCTACATCTATATAGATATAGAGATAGAGATAGATATATCTCAATGACATGTTGTCTAGAAGAGACAAATCTAAGAAATGAAGAGAAAAACAGATTCAAAAGCAACTTTTCCATAATTTTTGACTCATGTACTTATAACTTGTTAGTCAAATTTGTGTCTTCTAGGTTGCAACACCCCCATGATACATCTTCAAGGAT